GGCCCTTGTTGATTATCTATTGCATATATTTTAATCCCAAACTTCTAATTCACCCCTCCACCCCTTATCCCTTGGTAACCATGTTTGTTTTCTATGTCTGTGTGTCTCTGAATCTGTCTCTTGTTTTGTAAGTAAGTTCATCTTGCATTTGGATAAGAGTACCTGCCTCTCATAACATACAGAGCCCACTACTGTGCTTTTGAGCATCTTTATGTACAAACATTTTATAGAAAACAGTGGTAATAGACGCCTCTCTTATTCATTATTAAATTCAGAGTCTGATGCATTATATTCTGTATGCTTTATGGTGAGTGCTATGTCTTTTTTTCTCCAGTGCTGAATAGCCATTGATAGCAACACTAGCGTCACATGGGGAGAAAAATTACACTTGAGAAAAGCATTACTGATCTGCTTCTTAGAGCCTGTTATGATGCCATGACCTTAACAACATGGCACATGAGCTCCATGGATGCACTTCAGTGGCCAGTGACAAAAGTAGAGGCTTGATGAGTGCAGTACTTCCCAATTGCATTTTATTCTATGTGAGTGGAAGGACAGTTGTCGCATGTCCATCAAACTGGCTACAAAACTGGACAGAACAATTAAGTAGCCCTTGGAATTCAGCTTGAAAAGCACAAGCAACATTTATCAAGTACCTTAGCTGTGTCAAGTATTTTTAAACATATGAGTGTCAGAACAACTTTTCAAGACAGATATTATCTTTTATTGAGGTATAGTTGATTCACAATGTTCTATTAATTACTGCTGTACCAAGTGATTCAGTTATATGCATATATGCATTCATATATATATGTATTCTTTTCCATTATGGTTTATCATAGAAATACAATTCTCTGTGCTATAGAGTAAAGCCTTGTTTTTTAATCCATTTTGTATATAAAAAGCTTGTGTCTGCTAACCCCGCCCTCCCCCAGCCCCTTCACTGGCCAACCACCAGTGTGTTCTCTGTGTCTGTGGTTCTGTTTCCCAGGTAGGTTTATTTGTGTCATATTTTAGGTTTCACAGGTAAGTGACATCGTATGGTAGTGGACTTTCTGGTTTGGACTGAACCTCACTCAGTATGACAGTCTCTCTGTCCATCCATGTTGCTGCACATGGCCTTATTTCATTCTTTTTTATGACTGAGGAGTCTTCCATCATATAGATGTGCCCCATCTTCATTCATTCATCTGTTGATGGACATTTAGGTTGTTTCCATAAAGACAATGATTACTTATACCTATTTTATAGGGAAACTTAAGTAACTTACTTGAGAAAAACGCATGAATCCTTTATTGACTCTTCTGAACTCGACGTGTCTGAAGTCATGAGCATCTTCTAGAGAATTAGGCATCTCCGGGACCTGCCCCCTGCACGCCTGCCGGCACATTTACCATGGTCCTCAGAGTTAACGTCAGCCTGTGGCTGGTTGCTCTATTACTGCACCTTGTCCCTGACCATAGACGATTGAACCAGGGATAGTTCAGGTACTCGCTTGACGTGTCGGCACATAAGTCCCTTCTCCAGAAGTTGCAATTGCAGTTAGTCTGTCAGGTAGGAGTGTTGAAAATTTTTAATGTATTAGTTTATACTTCAAACAGTATTTTTCTAATGTGTAACATATATGATGATTGTGAATCGTAGAATGTACTCAGAACTCAACGCAATGCCATGCCCACTCCAGAGTTAATCATTTTCCTGAATATTGTGTTTCATATTCCTTTCCATTATTAAAAACAATGTCTTCCTACTCATCTGTTCATGGTAATACAGGTTTCTGTCTTGCATGTGTATAGATGTTCCATATCTGTTGCAGAAATGAATATTCACTGTCTTTCTCAGCTATTTCTTTCTTCATGTTTGTTTTTTTTCCCCCCTCTGGATGATGTTCTACCAGCAAGAAGAGAAAAGACCCCTCTTTAGTACACTTCTCAACTTAGTAAACAGCCCAGACTCCTAGCCAGTCACTGAAGCCAAGTACAAATCAGCCTTGGGTCCTCCTTTCCCAGGGGCCCACCTCCAGCATTTGCAAATCCGTTCCCACTTCTGGCCATCTTGTTCTCTTGCCTGCAAAGCTGTGAGAGCCCCTTTCTGCTTCTGCTCTTGCTGCCTGCAATCTATTTTCATGTTGTAGTCAAAACTCTCTTTTTCTAGAAACACCATCAAACCCTAAATAGCTTCCCCTTGCTCTTAGATCAAAACCCTGCCTTCTCTCCACAGTTTACAATTCTCTATGTGCCATGACCCCTGACTACCCTTGAGTTCACATCCCACTCCTCGCCTCCTCACTTGCTCATGACACTCCTTCCATCCAGGGGCTGTTGTGCTTGCTGGCCCCTTACCCCTCCCCCAGCACTGTTTCCCAGGATCAGTGCAAGGCTGGATCCTAGACAACAGCAAACACTCCCTCCTCACAGAGGCCGTTTCCAGCCGCTACCCCCACTGCCCTGCACTCAGCACCTTCAGCCTGTGGACCTGGTCGTGGTCAGTCACCCTCCTCTACACCATGAACTCCACTGCAGCAGGAAATCTGACTTTGCTAAGGGAAAATTATTCTGACACTTACTAAAGTGGTGAAAAAGTAGTGAAAGTGTTAGTCGTTCAGTTGTGTCTGACTCTTTGCAACCCCATGAACAGTAGCCTGCCAGGCTCCTCTGTCCATGAAATTCTCTAGGCAAGAATACTGGAGTGGGTTGCCACTTCCTTTTCCAGGGTTTCTTCCCAACCCATGGATCAAACCTGGGTCTCCTGCATTGCAAGTGGATTGTTTACTCTCTGAGCCACCAGAGAAACCCTAAAATGGTAAAGAAGAGCTTTATTCAAGATTACCACAATATGAGTATTACAATGGGGAAGAGAGATTGGCCTCAACTCTGAATATAGCAAAGATAACTGGGGATCTACAGCCAAGGAATAGAGAGTTGTGATCATTGAATGGAATACGCTAAGAACAGACATCAAGGCTGAGGGATTCTCAAACTGACTTAACAAGATTTTTGCTAAAACTGGGCCAGGCAGGCCGTGGATGGACAGGGGCCAGGGTTGAGGCCAAGTCAAGGAGGGGGCTCATAGGAACCCGACTCAAGTTTGCGAGAGAGTCTTTTTGAATTTCTTTTTCTTTTTTTAATGTCTCTCAATAACACTATCTAATATAAATAAAATATATATTATATAATACTTAATGTATATAATAGATTTTAAATACAACTTTAAGACAAATATAAATATGCTATACTTTCTCATAGCCACATTTAAAAAAGTAAAAAGAAGCAGGTGAAAAGAATTTAATAATATATCTTATTTAATCTCATGTGCATGTTATCTTTTCAATACATAACCAACATAAAAATTACTAAGGAGCTACTGTACATTCATTTCTTTGTACCAAATGTTGAAAACCCAATGGTATTTTACACTCATGGCATATCTCCACTCAGACCAGTCACATTTCAAGGGTGAAAAACTACATGTGGCCCGGGCTACATATTGGGCAGTGCAGATCTGATGATTATAGTGGTGACTCTACAGAGGGTATCCAATAAATGTCCACTGAATAAATGGATGACTGAACTAAGAATAAACTTGATTCACAGAAATGGCCATTTTTCTTTCTGCAAGTGTTCAGAGTATGTTGGTGCCAAGTTTTACTCCAGAGGCATGTATAAACAGAGTATGTGTTGCTTGATTTGGAAAGGAATGGATATTTCAAATAATAAGAGAGTATCACATTTCATTTATAATTTAATTCTTCACTCATCTTCATTTTATAAATACCCAGAGATAATAAAGGAAGAAAGCATAGCTATGAATTTTATTCACGAAGGAGTCTATGCAACCACAAAGGTGTTTTGATTTTTTCTTTTTTAACCAATTAGGTATTTTCATCTATTTAATTTTTTTCTCAAAGTATAAGACTGCAGTTTTCACAAGGTAACAAGTTTTAACAAGATTATTTTACATATCTGGTTTTATTTTGTTCCTTTAAGTTCATCATCAGCTTCTATATTGGGTAGCTACAAGTGATAGCATTTGGCATTGTTTATTCACTGTAAAATGTCAGAGCAGTAAGAGCTGGATTCCTCAATTGGGAACAGTAAGATGCCTGGATTTACTGTGTACTCTGTGGCTTCAGAATACTTTTTTCTGTTATTGTTCTTCCCTCATCCAGTGTGTTAAGGATGAGAAAAAGTATTTTTCCTGTTTACCACACAGGACATGCCTGTCTTTTCTTCCTATTTGCACTGAAAACGTCCAGCTGTAGCACTGATCTCCAGTGAAACCTATTGTGGTATTCCTGACAGCTGTCAAATTCTGAGTCAGATCAACCAGATGCCCACTAAAACACCTAACAGTCCAGAAGACTCATGAGTATGTTTATCAGATATGCTATGTCTTATATAGTTTTACTGCTGTCTTTATAAATCCAGGTAAAAAAAAAAAAGAAATAAGAATTAGAGAAACAAACCAGGCTTTAAAACAGGAGAGAAGACTGCATTTTAGCCCCAACTTTATGAGGGATGGGAAAAGAATATATTCTTCATCCCTTTTCCCCTCACAATTAGATTTCTCCATACAGACAAAAAAATGTTTTTGATTTAAACCTTGAATTTTAGGGGCAAGCTTTAAAAAAGCCAAATCAATACTAAATCAGAGATATTTACAAGATTGACAAATTTAAGCCAAAGTGGATACTTAAAAGCTCATATAGATCTTTAGATGATGCTCTCCCAGATGGTGAATTAATGTAATTTTAGCAGGAAGCAAAGTTGCACTAATATGCAGTATTGCGGCCTCGCACTGACTTAATGTATCTGTACCCACCACAGCACAGATGTTGTATATCATTTTAGTGCCAGTTTTTCTATACCACACACTGAAGAATGGGATTTGGGAGTAAATACAGTAAATTATGATTTTAAATCTCAACTAATAACTTGTCAGAAATTGAAGCTTTCTGTGAACTGTGTATAGAAATCACATTGGTTGTGTTCTCTGTACAGGGTGTGAAAGGTGACTTGGGTCCTCGTGGTCCTCCTGGCCCAAAAGGAGAAAAGGTACTGTATTTGCCCAGTCTTTTCTCAAGAAAACCCTGAGAACCTATGCACTGATTTTTCACTGATCCCATTTAAAAGCCGAAATGTAACTTTGTTAAAATTAACCAAAGGCTATTATGTTTAAAAAAAAAAAAACTGAACAAGAAAAGCCTTTTGGTTCATTCAGTTAGTTTGAAGAGACTAAATGCACAATTGCTAGTCAACAGTAATTTGTTTATAAGATTTCCCTTTTTTCTCCCTCTCTCAACACCATTAAGTATTCATTCCATCACAAATTCGCAGTTATGTCCTGCACTGGGGAACTTTGCCAGTAGCACTGAGATGCTACCATGGTGAAGCAGGTGGCCTTTGTGGGGAAAGAGGTTAATTGTGCATTTCAGTCTTAATCTGAAAGCCCCTCTTCCTGCCGCATTTTCTCATGTCATTTTATAGTGGCCTATCGGCAGGGACCTTGAAAAGAAAATTATGAGACAGTAAAAGCATGAGTTGTTTGGAGTAAGGTCACTGGGTGATCCTAGTTTGATGACAGTTGTACATATGGGCATCTTGCACTGTATTTTGTTCTCCATTCTCAGCATGTTTAGAAATCTTTGTCTGTCTCCAGTATTTACCTTTGAAATAAAGTTGACTGCAAACTGGTCCCCAGTGACTGACTTAATCTTCATCAATGTTCTTTCACAACTGTTGGTTATTTTTATTCAGTAGCTCCCAAAATAATGATTACACAAGGCCGAGTCTTCAGTTTTCAGGTGATTTTAAGTGAGAAAAGTGAATGTTGTAGAGAGACTCCCACATGAGACTACAATATCCAGTGCACCCTGCCACACAGTGTTGATTCCATGGTGTCCACTTGAAGAGGGGTTATGGCAGCAATACTTGATTTTTTTTTTCTTTATGCAATAACTTTATTTAATTCACCATCAGCACTCTGGGGTTCAATATATTTATCTACAGAATGAGGGGATTTGATGAGATGGAGGGTCTCTAATTGTCAAATTTAACATTCCAAGACTTGCCTTTTTAAAAAGTATTTCTTTTTTATTGAAAAAGTGAAAATGGTAGTTGCTCAGTTGTGTCCAACTCTTTGCTACCCCGTGGACTCTAGCCCGTGAGACTCCTCTGTCCGTGGGATTCTCCAGGCAAGAATACTGAAGTGGGTTGCCATTGCCTTCTTCAGGGGATCTTCCCAACCCAGAGACTGAACCAGGGTTTCCTGCATTGCAGGCAGATTCTTTACCTTCTGAGGCACCAGGAAAGCCCTACATTTTTTTTTAATTGAAGTATAGTTTAATTTGCAATATTTTATTAGTTTCAGGTATACTAATCAGCATAATGATTCATTTTGAATCAGCACAGTGATTCAAAATTTTTATAGCTTATATTCTATTTAAAGCTATTATAAAATATCAGCTATCTTCCCTCTGTTGTACAATATATCCTTGTAGCTTATTTACTTTGTGCATAGTGGTTTGTACCTCTTAATTCCCTACCCCTGTCTTGCCTCTCTCTGTGATGCTTGATCTTAATGACCAAGAGTTCCCATGAAATAAATACATACGCTGATACAATAAAGCATATAGGTGACATATTTATAAATTGAAAAATAATAAACATTTGGGTTAACCATATTATTTAGATTTTGAATTGTTTTTCAATATATCTACCTGGTAATTTGTATTCATGTAATGGTCAGCAAAACAACGTTAGTATTTAAAATTTCATGACTATAGGTAAAGCCTCTTACAAATGTTCGCAAGTGCAAGGCCAGTTCAGCAAAGCTTTATAAGAGGCAATGGGGCTGCTGAATGCATAAAGTGGGGAGACCCACTTATTATTTTTGCTGACCCACTTATTATTACTTGTGCTAACTTTGTCAGAAATATAATCTGTCATTGTGACACTTCCCAGCTGCTCCATTGGCAAGTAACCATATTTGAAGAGATACTCTTTCTAATTTTGGATTAGTAGACAAAAGAATAGAAATTAGATTATTTTAGCTTTTCAAAACAAGTTCTGCTGCTGCAGAAAGCATGGGGATGCACAAGGTGATTTTTATATCATGATAGCTAAAAGCATGTGATAAATTTTTCATTGTGAAGACACGTTATCAAGATAAAATTATACTTTTCTTTCTACCCATATTTATCTAGATATTGCCTTGATCCATTCATAAAATTTGTAAATAATGTGAGCAAGAAGGGACTATTGGTAATTGCAGCTTTTCTTTCATCCTTTAGGGAGATATGGGACCTCCAGGACCACCAGCCTTAACTGTAAGTATTCTTGAAATAAAAATTCATCACTGAAATATGTTACCCTGTTGACTACTCACAGTACATCATGACTATTCCAGAATTTAAGCTATTGGATATTTTGAGAACTGAAAGTGACTTCAAAGTAGATCTAAGCAAACCTCCAGATTTTAAAGATGGAGCTTCTACCCATAGCAGTGAAGGGCTTAACCTGAGGTCATGCAGGTAGTCACTGGAAAAGTCTGGAAGCAGTACTTAACCTAAGCAATTTTCTTCACCCTGCGTATGGTTCATGATTTTTCCCCTTAAGGGTTTGATTATACATTCTTAACATGACATTTAAAGTTGGAAATGGAAGCAGAGACAGTTCTTCTTACTCTAAAAACTATAAAAGAATAACTAAAATCACCCAATGTGTAAAAATAGCTACCTGTCTAAACTGATTGTTACATTCACCAAAACCCATTCAAGCCCGTTGCTTTTTCCTATGTGAGTTGCTTCTAAGATTTGAAAATGATAAAATAGAGATATTTCAGTGACAGATTTATGAGAAAAGTTTATAATGTCCACATAATGGCATTGCTCTCAATTAAATGGTTCATCATTTATTAAACATTTAGTCATAAATATGTAATGCTTTCATATTTGGATACAATTTGCTGTTATAGATTTTCTTCATAGGCCATTAAGGTTTCTCATTTAAGTTAAAGATTTGGTCTGAGAATGACACTAAACTTAATGGAAAAGAAGAAAGATGTTTAACTAAGATCATGTGTAGCTTGAGGCCTCTCAGATTTTATGTTGATATTAGTTAATGACATAAATTAATAATTTAGATCATCAGTTTCCTGAGCCCTATCCTGATTATAGAAGGCAAAGTTTAAAGGAATCTTCTAGCATCTGGATGAGGGGCTTCCCATTAGGGCAGCACAGGACTTGCAAAGGCTATGTGGTTTTGGTAACATTTATATTTATTTTTGTACTTGAAAATATCATTCTGAACACTATGTTAATATTGTCTTACACAAATAATCTTTGCAGTGCTCACTTAGAATGCAAATATTTCTTCATAAATGGAAAATCTAAGGAAACAAACAAATGACTTTCTTAGGAATAACCAAATTCAATTTAGAATGGAACTCTGTGCTTGAAACTTTGATTTTCAAGATAGGAATAAAAACTATTTGAGAGGAGGCTTTAACTGCATATTATTCAATGTTTTAGAATTTGTGGAGCTTATTTCTTAAATTATTTGGCAGTGATTTAAATTTTGCTCATTTTATTTAAATCACATGTTTATTTTTGTTCGACTGAGTTATGTGCTCAATCATTCCATGTAGTTATCTGATTACACAGTCATTTGCAACTTGTGTTTGATGACTAAAGTGCAGTCTGTCTGTATCATTTCACCTAATAAGCAAATTTGGCCCCTCAGCCAGAATATTATATTGGACGATATCAATGTCAAATGGCAATTGACATCTTTCTGCCAAGTAACACCCTTTAGATGTCTCTTTGCACTGTTCAGCAGCCAGACACCAAAAGAGTACAAGCTGATTTTCATACTTATCTAAAGACATGAGAAGGACTCCAAAATGGAAGGTAAAGAGCGTGAATTAGCAGGATGTGCCGCTTTACCATCTTCCAAAACACATCAAAAAGACATCTACATGTGGTAAAATTGTCATTGGAAACTAGCAGAAGACCTCTTACACAACCAAAGCTGCAAGAAAGATCCCCACACAACTGGTAGGGTAACAAAAAGGCACTGGAGCAGGACCAGCGCCCCGGGAGCAAGCTGTGAAAGAAGAAAGGTCCGTACAGGTGACCGCTCCCCTGGGGAACCCCCTCACTGGCTGGGCGGTCCATTTGGCCAGACGGAGGATCTGGAGGGGCCTGGGCTCTGCCCATGAGGAGTCTGCATGCGCCGGCTTGTTAGCTGTCAGGACAGAGACACTGGCTCTGATGGCGGCCACCTCAGCGCACTTCTCAACCTTGTATGTCCTTCAGGTGGGGCTGCTAGTACAGTGAGTGGGCAGCTGCTGAAACGTGGGCTTCTGTGGGTGGATGCCGGGAACGGACTCAGTCTAGATGTGCAGAATCAGCCCAGAGGGCAGGAGTGTAGTCCAGGCCTCACCTCCAGGCCAGGCTTATGTTGGGTCAGGGACAAGCACGACAGAGAAAAGGGTGCGACTTGAACTGCTTCTGCGCAGAACCGGGGGTGCCTGCACCAGTGGTGCATAGGTTCACAGTGACCACGTGGGTCTCTGTTGCTTCGGCACTCACCTCCTTGGGACAGAGCGCCAACTTAAGGGCCTTCTCAAATGCAAGCTTCAGCGCTTCTACTGCAACAACTGGGGAGCAGAGCCTGTGGCTGCCACACACATGGCAGGGTGTGGATTTACCATTAGAAAGCCCACTGTTAGTCTGCTTGTGGCAGGGCCCAGCTCCACCGGCAGGCTTTGGAGTACACACACTATGGGGAAGAGGCTGATATCTGAGCCCATAATCAGTGCTGTCCCAGCAGGGACATGTAGGGGTCAGGGGGTCCTGCAGCAGCAGACTTTGTTGGCATGCATATCAGGTGAGGGCATAATCCACATAATCACATGTTTCCAGTGGACAGACCCTAAGGAGAAGCTTGCAGTGGTTCCTTTCCCAGCAGGAGTGTTCCAGTTCCACCCACCTCACACAAAGCCTGAAGCTAGAATCTGGGGGGGACAGGCCCTGGGAGAGCCCTACCACAGAGGCAACTCAGGTCTCAGGTGGCAGCCCAACCACTTCAGTTTCTGCAGCCACAATGCCCTGATCCACAGGGCCAGCCTTACACTAGGTCAGGGACAAACACTGCAGAGAAAGGAATGCCACGTGGGCTGCTTCTAAGCAGAACCCCGGACGCCTGCTTAGGTGGTGCATGCATTCGCTGTGAGCATATGAGCCTCTCTTGCTTCAGCACTCATCTCCTCACTACAGAGCACAAACTCAAGGGCTCACACACAAACTTCAGGGCTTCTACTGCAACAACTGGAAAGTAGACCCCATCCCCAACACGGCTGTGACAGTCACAGAGAGAAGAGGAGGCGCTGCCCAACGTCCAGTGCAGGATCTCCACACAACACCGGTCATAACCTCTATCAGGGGGATAACGGCCAGCACACTCTGGGCAAAGATGTAACAGGCATCCATAGCAAAGACAGCTCTCGAGACAAAGATATTAGACTTACATAGTCTATATAGGGATGATCCCACATAAAAACAGCCCTCAAGACTACGGCAGTAACTATTTCTTCTAAATTTGTAGAGCCACAGAAGTGTAAGTAAAATGAAGAAGCAGAGGCACTAGTCTCAATAAAAAGAACAAGCAAAATCCCCTAAAAATAATCAATGAAACAGACCTCTTCAGTATACTATATCCTGATTTGAAAAAAAGTAATAAAAATGCTAAAGGAATTAAGATTTTCAGTAGAAATGCAGGTCACTGTAACAAGAAACTGGAAACTATAAAGAGGAAACAATCAAAATTAGACAACGCAATTGCTGACAGAAAAACAAAACTGAAAGCAGACTAAATAATGCAGAAGAACAAATAAGTGATCTGGAAGATAGAATAATGAAAATCACACCATTCAGGACAACAGACAGAAAGACAAATTGAAACAAAAAGTGAAAGCAGCATATGAGATCTGTGGAGTCATTTAAAGCATGCCAACCTATACACGATAGGGGTCCCAGAAGGGAAAAAAAGAAGAGGATCAAAAACGTATTTGAAGAAATTATGGCTGAACACTTTCCAAACCTAAAGAAGGAAACGGATATACAGGTATAGAAAGTGGAGAGGGTCCTGAACAAAATGAACCCAATAAGCCCACACCAAAACATATCATAATTAAAATGACAAAAGTTAAAGAGGATTCAAAAGTAAGGAAAAGAAAAACAGAGTCAGTTACAAGGGAACCCCCACAGGTTGATTTCTCTACAGAAAATTTGCAAACCAGAGTATATATTTTGCAATATATATTTAGAGTTCTGAAAGGGGAAAACTTGCAACCTAGGATACTCTCCCCATTAAGATGATCACTTAGTATAGAATGAGAAACAAAGAATTCCTCAGACAAGCAAAAACTACAAGAATACAGCATTAAGTTTATCCTAAAAAATAATGAAAGATCTTCTCTAAATAGGAGAGAAGCAAGAATATGTAAGAAAGGGTAAAACCACAATAGGATAGGCCAATTTAATAAAAGGATTAAACAGCACTTAAAGAAACTAGTACATAGATTTAAAACAATAAAAATTTTATTAAAGCAACTATGACTACAATTAACAGAAAAAAATATATACATGATGATGTAAAATAGGATTTAAAAATCACAAAATGCAGAATAAGGAAGTAAAGACTTTAGTTTTTTTTTTTTAAGAATATGCCTGAACTTATACAGCTATCAGTCTAATGCAAACAGATATAATTCTGGGTTAACATACTTGAAAACCAGAGTAGCCACAAATCAAAAACATTCAATAGATTCACAAAACAAGAAGAAAGAAGCTCAAGCATAATTCAAGAGAAAACCATCAAACCACAAAAGGAAAGAAACAGAGAGAACTGAAAAATCAACTGGAAAATAAGGTTTAAAATGACAATAAATACATATAATCAATAATTACTTTAAATGTCAATGGACTAAAAGCTCCAGTCAAAAGACATTGAGTGGAAAGTTGGATTAAAAAAAAAAAACAAGTATCTTCAATATGTTGCTACAGGAGACTCACTTTAGGGTTAAAGATGCTATATTGATAAGTGAGGGGGTGGGGAAAGATATTTCATGAGAATGAAAACAACAAAAAACAAAGATAGCAATACTCATATCAGACAAAATAAAAAAATCAAAGTGAATAACAAAGGACAAAGAATGAAATTAGATACTGATAAAGGGATCAATACAAGAAGGTATACTTATTAACATATATGCCAATATAGGAACACCCAAATGTGTAAAACAAATACTAACAGACATAAAAGG